CAGCATAACAAACAGCAGATCTCATCTCTACCTCTCTGTGATTCAGCAAACTGCACGCTCACCTGCACTACTGTTTGACAATGTAACGCTTTTTGGCCATTTTTATGTAAAGTTGTCAACGAAACTGCGTCCTCCAGCAGCAGACACACAGAGGACGTGGACTGAATCTAGCAGCTGCTGATACATTTGATATTATCAGTAAAAAAAAACTCTTAAATTATGGGACAAATAAATATCGGTTCAAATGAATATGACTTTATAATGTCAGTGTTGAGGCTGTGGGTTTTGGTGTTTTACTGCTTTCATAGACCTCACCACAAAAAGAGGAAGCCGACAGGTCAGCTGGGAGATGATAGGAAACACAGGACGAAACCAAAGCTCGGTCAAGTTCATGTTCAGTCATGTAGAAGTCACTACACTTGTTTCCTCAACCAATCACGGCTATTTGTAGAGTCCCCCCCCCACCCCACTTATCTAATCAGCCTGGTTTAGATAACACACACACACACACAGAGTCAACATAAACACCGATAAGACCTAAAACTGGCAGAGAGACTCAAACACGGACCTCGTGGATTAACTGGGCTCTGACAGTTGTCCTCAAAGGCACAGGCACTGCTTGAAAAGGTGAAGGCACTGACTGACAATGACAGCCAGGCCTGAGCACCGGGAGAAATCCACATTTTCTGGTGGTTTCGCTGATTCGCCTGAAGCTGCTTCTGCAACAACTAATGAAGTAAAAAGAGGAACTGGCCACAGTTTGTCAACTCTTCAACTGACCGCAACACCAACACCACGATAATGACAACAACATAAACAAACACTGAACTCTTTATCAATACTCTCAAAGATTGGCCACGAGGACGTTGTCCTCCACTTTCTGTCATTCCAACCATCTCCGAGTCTTTTCCTCTTGTTCTGATGAACACTTTTCTGGAGTCAGACGAAGCACGTCCTCCAAGGCAGACAGCACTGTTTTATAAACACAACATCGTCATCTCACATCTGTTTATGCATCATCCAAGTCAGATGTCAGGCTTGTCCATGTGACATAATGAGGTGTGATCTCTGACAGGTCATCCTAGCAGGAAAACAACAGTAAGGGACCATTTTCTGCCTTTGTTTAAACTCAGTGAAGTGTTGGGAGTAAACACACCCTTAGACTGTGTTAGCGTCCACACATGACAGCAGGTCCTGTAAATGGTCTTCTAAATATTGGACTCTTGCTGTTTTCTTCTGTCACACAACAAGACCCTGACCATCAAGTTGACCATACCTAAATTCATTATTATTATCCTTTTATTGACGGCTCAGTCATTGTTATTGACAGATCGATAGGGAATGACTCAGCTATTTCAATATCAGATATTGTTTACTGCAACATTTAGTCTTAAGAGTTTGGATTCATTTGCATTAACTTCTATGCAAAACAAAAACAATAATAATATTTAAATAACTAAATTGAGATGTCTCAGGGTGTGATTAAAAGTTTTAAATCTAATAACATCGTATAATTCAAGAAGAAATGTCAAAGTGAAAAAAATATGATATTTTCTCCAAATACTTTAAGCCAGTACTGAACACTTAATAACACATAATAATTTGAGGTAATAGCACAATAAACAACAGATTATTTTCGAACTGTGACTTGCTGTAAAAAAAACAACACAACCACGCCATTAAATCAGCAACTATTTGCAAAATACTCTAATATAGTTTGCTGTCTTCCTAACAAAATGTAAAATAATTTACAGGTAGACAGTAGACAGGTGCAGAAAGCAGTGTAACAGATGTATGCAGCTTCGGCCTGCTTTAAATGAGCTGTCAAAGGCAGGCGAGGCGTTGACAGCGCCGCAGCCATCGATGCTAGTATTAGCCTTCCCCAAAAACCTATTCTCTTGAAAAACAAAAGAACAGATTCTCTTTCACAAACACAAGATAAGACACCACCCTGACTAGAACCTCCTCTAGTTCTTCACTTCCCTTCTGATAACTATCTCGTCACTTTTGTGTTAGCTAACGTTAGCCGCAGCAACATTACGTCGATTCCACAGTGAATCGTTAGCACAGGCGGCTAACAGGAAACACTCGGCTCCTCCTCGGCTCTTACCTGAACGACGGCTGCAAAAACACACTTTTCCGGTTAAAGTTGGTGAATCTGGCGTTTAGGAGACACGTTCATTCAGTGTGCAGGGACATTTCTGTCAGAGCGGTCTTTCACGTCAACGATAACCGTCACCGTCTCTCCGTCCTCTCAGCGTGGTTGCTAACGTTACAGTGGTCTCCGCCCATCGTTCTCCTCTTCTTCGTTGGTGTTTAAACAACACCCTCGCCAAACATCTCCTCTGTGAAATATCGCCGCAGGCTGGCAGCAAGTAACATACGCCCCTCCAAAACGATCCTATAAACCAAACAAAACGTAAATATTTTAATTGTGTCTGTTTTGTGAGTACGCCTTTCACATTTTATCTCTTAACTAAAAGCACTTTGCTCCAATAAAAGAGTTCCGACATCTAATCTAATCAGATGAATGCATATTGTAGTAAAGTAATTAATTTTTTTACTTACTTGTTCAAAATAGCTTTAAAATATATTTTGCTGTTTATATTATGTATTTATATATAACATATATTTACGTAAATTTATATTTATGTTATACTTAAAATATGACTTCCATGGTAAGTCTGCGTTCTTACCATTTTATTAAAAACAACAACATCATATACTGTACTCTTCTGCCACTCTCTTCTCTTCACACTTTACCATCTATTACCACAAGAGGGCGAAAAAACCCAATGAATGTTACATGAATGCGCGTATTCGATGCTTTTATTTTGAAGGTCACCCAGGATGGGTGGACGATCGAGTCCTTCACTGTGCTGCTGCCGAGGTCAGACAGAGGACCGGTTAAAGTTCTGAGGGCGGACGTACGGGACATTCTACCAGGTACCGGTTATACAATGACAAATGCCGTTTATTATACACAGCTGGAGAGGAGTTGCTAATATTGACAATTTCTAGGTACCTTTGTTAAGGCGCTAATAGCTAATGCTAGCCATATGAGCCTTATTACCGTCTATTTGTTGTATTATTACCACGTGGCTAAAGTGTTATTACCAAACAGGACAACATTGAGTGTTTATGTTCTAACAGCCTCCCATCGTGACTGTATTTTTTTTTTGTGCAACTGACAGAAATGCTAAGGGAAATTATACATTTTTTTGTATAATAATTCACTGTCAATAATAACAATAGGAGAAGATGACAGACAGTATTTACACAGTGTAGGATCCAAAGCAGTAGATGGAACATAGAAGATATCAGGTAGAGTAAATAAAGATAAATGTTGAACATTTGGACACATTAACAGAGATAACAGTGGATAGGTTGGACAAAATAAGGAGCTTGGACCTATAAGGAACACCAACCTTGCTGTGCAGGTCCAGGAAGACACTGTCTGAACATGTTCCATGTTATATCCAGTAAAACGTATCTTGGTCATCTCTTCACGAGGCTCGCCGCTCTGATGCTGATGTTCATCGTTCCATTTAAAAGTCTTGTCCAGAGCTTGTTGCTTCTCCTGACTTGCTTCAGTGAACCTCTCCTGGTCTGCTGCAGGGTTCCCATCGTATATGTCGTATTAAATGAACTGTATTCAACACAGCACTATTGGTTCCACTTGGTGAACGTTTGGGATTTCGGCTGCTTTTACAGTTTATAACAGGCAGTAAAAAAAAACAACTTGGTGAATGTTAACCTCAGAAAACAGGAGCAGATATAAACAGTCTGTGGGAGATGTTTGATGTTCCAGTTGCACCACCTCAGGGCTTTTGACTCCAACAGCAATAAAAGATAAAAGGAAAAGAGGCAGAATTTGAAGAACTTATTAAAGGACTGTAGACACAGTCTGAGATGGAGGGTGGTGAACCTCTGTGGTGCCACCTACAGGTGGCAGCTTGAAGACAACCATGGTGCACTTACAAGAACCCTGTAGTCACTGTTGACATGGCAACAAGAGGAAACGCAGCAGCGATGCATCAGCATCCACCGTCCGTCTGGAAACAAACCTCAAGGACATGGACCAAGAAACGTGCCAACGTGAGATATGTCGTCTCGTGAGAAACGTCCAATATGTTGAGGTGGAAAGTCATTCAATCATTCAATCACCGGAACCTTCCACCATCAAGAACTTATCATTTAGGATTTATCTCTGTTTAAAGCCTCAGAAATGTGTTTTTATCCTGAAGTTTTCACTCGTCAAATTTCTCTGTTCCGACAGTCAGGTGTTTTTATCCTGAAGTTTTCACTCATCAGATTTCTCTGTGGAGTACTCAGTACTTGCACATGTACTTAACGTTGTGGACCTTATGTAATAACCTCCCTGCGTCTCCTCCGTCAGCTCCAGCACAGTGGTGGTGGTGAAGTCAGGAGACATGGCCGAGTCCCACAGACACCGTTAGACCCTCACTATGACACCTGAGCGCCTCACCTGCAGCCAGCTGTCCGTCAAGACGGCTGCTCTGCGCATGGTTCACCTGCCGCTGTCCGTCTACAGCTCACTGTCACAGGTGAGCGCCCGCAGTTCAGATTTACTGAAGATCCCTCCCTGAGTGGATTTGGCTAAGCTCCATTCACAGACCGCTCTCTGAGCTGATTACATAAACAGACGCAGATCGTGTATCTGTGTACGAGTCGCCCTGAGCTGTTTAATCCTTTAGGGAAAAGGCTGCAGGTGACATGAGGTTAAGACGAGCAGTACTGTAGTATCTGAGTCATGCTCATATACTGTACACACATATATATACATATATGTTTACATATATGTATATATATGTGTGTGTGTGAGCGATGCCTTCACTGTCCCATCCATTCCTGTCTCCCTCCCAGGTGAGTGTCAGCACAGGCACCAAGAAGCTGGTGGCAGCCACAGCCCTCGGCGCCTTCTCGCTCCTTTTCCTTGCGCGTCACTTCCAGAGGAGGAAGGGCAAACGGAAGCTGCTCTCATCCGAGTGGGAGAAGGTTA